TTAACATTTTATTAGGGGATCATACAACTGTTATTCCAATCCATACACACATCAATTGTGTAAAGCGCATTTGTACATCATTTCTCAAAACATTTTCTCTCCACTTAAACCCCCAACACTAGGTCCTCATTTTTCCCCTCCCTCCCCATAACAATACTTTCTTAAAAGCCCAATGCCACCCACTGCCAGGAGCCCATTCTGACCGAGTGACCCTCTGCGGGGGCTCGAGGCTGTGCAACTCTCCACAGAGGCAGCGAGCCTTACTTCCTTCCAAAAGACGGCTGGTGGGTTTGAACTGCCGGGCTTTGGGTTAGCAGTTCAATGCCTATTCAGCACCTCCACCAAGGGTGCCTAATTCATAATACACTACACACAATTCATGTAGAAAAACAAAGCAAGAAACTCACTAACATTGAGTATATTCCAACTCTTAGTGACCTTATAGGACAGAGTAGAAATACCCCTTGTGGGTTTCTAAGGCTGTAAAGCCTCATCTTTCCCCTACGGAGTGGCTGGTGGGTTCAAACTGCTGACCTGACGGTTAGGAGTCCAGCAGAGCTAGACTCCTGAATTCATCAGAAGGGGTCATTGTTCAACCACTAAAGGAGCCCGGTGGTGGTGTGTTAGGCGCTGGTCTGGGACCCCCAAGGTCAGCAGTTCAAACCCACCCAAAGCCACTCCTTGAGTGGAGCACAGAGCTGTCTCCCCACAGATGTACCATCTGGGAAACCCGATGTCGGGTTGCCGTGAGTCAGAACTGGCTCTGTGGCCGTGGGGTGGGGTGTTCTGTTCTGCACACTCACAACCTGGCCTGGTTCCCGGTGGTTGGTGAGACAGAGTTTACCCCAGTGTCAGCCTCCGGGGGGTGCCCAGCTTCTCCTTCAGGTGACTCGGCCCTCCTGGTCCTCGGGTGGCAGGAGTAAGACAGGCAGTTTGGGTCTGTACACATTACAGCCTCTGGAAGCGTCCCCGGGGACAGCCCCACCTTGTCCTCCAGGGCCACGGGGATGAGTTGGAATGAACTCTACTGCAGTGGCTTTTAAGCCCTTCAGCCCCGGCACCTGGCCACCTCCAAGCTGGGTCCTCAGTCACCGGACACTTCCCCAGGTGTCCAGCACGCTAGCTGTCGTCCAGTGGGCTCCGTGCTTCACAGGGTTGCTTCTGGGGCTCCACTGGGTGGGCTTTGGGTGGGCAGCTGAGCTTGCTCATTCTCTGTGCACCGGGACTTGGCGGAGGCCTCAAGACTCCAGCTGGCACCCCAGAGCCCAGCTCACTGGGCTCTGTCCACTGCTTCTCCTGAGAGGGCGTGGGAGCACCCAAAGAGCATCTGGAGGCGCTCCCCCGTCCCTCGGAGGCTGCCCGCAGCCCCAGGCCCTCCGGAGGAAACAGGTGAGCGGGCGCCTCATCTGGTGTGGGCAAACCTGGCCAGGGAACCCCAAATCTCGTCCTCACAAGTGCACGTATTAAAACAAAAGAAGGAGCCAGGTGCACACCTCAGAGTCCGAGCCGACGCCTGGCGACCTGGTGGTGGGTGCCGGAGTCTGCTCCGACCCACAGCGACCCCGTGCAGACAGAAGGACGCCCTGCGCTGTCCATCCGACCCTTCCAGGCCGGAGCCGTGGTGGTCGCCTGTGGAGCTGCTGGTGGTTCCAAAGGGCTGACCTCCTCGTTAGCAGCCCGATGCGTAATGCATGGAGCCACCAGGGCTGCTGCCATTCAAAAAAGAAAATAGCCACTCTTAACACCCAGGCAAGGAGGCCTGGCCGTGCATTGGCAAGGTGCTCGGCTGCTTACCCCAAGGTCAGGGGTTCGAACCCACCAGCTGCTCTGAGGAAGGAAAAGAGCTGGCAATCTGCTCCCCGACAGACAGACCACCAGCACGCCAAAGTGCCGTAGCCCTGGCAGCAGGCGGGAGTGACCGGAGACTCAGATTCAAAAACAAAACACAACACAGCCAGACCAAGGGCGCGCGCGCGCACACACACACACACACACACACACACACACACACACACACACGCCCTGAGCTGGCCTTGACTCCTATGCTGGAGCAGAACTGCACGGGAGCAGACGGCCGCTGCTTTCCCCCAGTGCATGACCCTACTCGGAACTTCCTCAGTGAGCCAGCTCGGGAACAAGCCGATGTCCTCTGGCTTTTCTCAGCCCCACTCTTCTGCCATATTTGGAGGGGGAAAAAACCCTCCTTTTTTCCCCCTCAGTTGTCTTTGGAGTCTTGTAGACACTACTTAGAAGAAGCAAAAAAACAACCAAACAAACCACGGTGACCCCGCCTGTGTCCCCGTGGGACTGTGGTCCCAGAGCTTCCAAAACACCCGATCCAAACTCACTGCTACAGAACACGGTGGGTGGGACTGACCCCAGGTTTCCAGGACTGGAGCTCTCAATGCAAGTAGAAATCCCCGTCTTTCTCTCTCAGGGCAGCGGGTGGTTTCAAACTACTGACCTTGTGGGTCGCAGCCTAATGAGGAGCCAGTGTGGCCCCAGGGGGCCCCAGGGCGTCCTGTGGCTGCTTTTCCACAAGGGGATCACCAGGCCTTTCTTGCAAGGTGCCTCCGGAGGCCTGGAAGGACCTGTTAGCAGCCAACGTCATTAATTTTTGGTACCATCCAGGGGGAGACTAGTGACGTCTCTTGAAAAGACCACCACGGGACTGAGCGGAGTCCCTCTCAGGGGAGGGAACAGAAAGAGACCTTTTCCTGCAGAGACCCAGGGCTGGTGTGGTGGGGGGGAGTTTGTGAGTCTGGAGACGATGACACGGGGGAGGGGGCGGGATGGGCGGGGCCTCTGAGATCAAAGAGTGATTCTGAAACTCTCTCTCCGTCTCTTGCTCAGCTGGAAAGTGAAACAACGGAGCAGAAAGCAAAAGTGAAAAGACTGGTCCCTTCACATGTTAGAAAGCTTTCCCACGGACCCGAAAGGCCCCTGCTCAGGAGCCGGCGGCAGCCACAATGTGGGGCGTTGGGTGGCCAGGAAGCTGCCCAGCCCGTGGAGGCCAGCCCCAGAGGCTGAGAGGGGCTCGCTCCTGAACGTCCCCCGAGTGAGAGGGCAGCCCCTACCCCACTCTAGACCACTGAGTTCCTTGGGGAAAGTCAGGCACCCACCCATGGGATCTCTGCCCGGGTGTCATTTATAAATAACTTGGGAACATTTTCTTGTTTTCAGAGCTGCGGGGCTGGGTTTTCCCAGCACACTAGGCTCTGGGGAGACGTGACCACGGCGGTGGGACCAGGCCAGGGCCTCTGGGATTGTCTCGGCCTCATGCGGGCCACGGAACAACCCCCTCATTCAAGACCCTGCCCC